TAGCCAGTGGATAGCCAGATAACCAGTGGACAGCAGTAGATAGCTAGTGAATAGCAAGAGATAGCCAGTCGACAGTGAGAGATAGCCAGTTGATAACCAGTGGATAGCCAGTGAATAGCCAGTGGCTAGCCAGATAGCCACTGGACAATAGGAGCCGGTGTATAGCCAGATAGCCACTGGACAGCAGGAGCCTGTGGATAGCCAGTGGGTAGGGCCGACGGGAGCAAGCCAGTGAATAGACAGATAGCCAATGGACAGCAGGAGATAGCAAGAGATAGCCAGTCGACAACCTGAGATAGCCAGTGGAGAGCCAGTCGACAGCCTGAGATAGCCAGTGAATAGCCAGTCGACGGCCTGAGATAGCCAGTGGATAGCCAGTGAATAGGCATTGGATAGCCAGATAGCCCCGGGACAACAGGAGATACCCAGCGTATAGCCAGATAGCCACTGCACAGCACAGTTTTCATCTGCAGCTCCAAGTATATCACCAACTTTTCATTTTCACTACACTGTCCTGTGGCTCCGCACTTGCCGCCATCGTCTTCTCTTCAAAGGTTCTGAATAGTATTTCTGTCTCTTGCAGTGCCCGTCTGCTGCATAGACCCGGTCCGCAATCCTGCTGTGAACATACTGTGATTTTCAATTCTTCACAGCATTTCATTCCACTTGTGCGCACCGACAATCGCCGTCCTTTGGTCACCTTCCGTTTTCCTTCTTTCTTCACAAAGATGATGGAACATTACAGACAGTCTGGATTCATCTGGATTCAAACTCAGGTCCTTTGGTCACCTTCCGTTTTTTTTTCTTGCTATGTGCACATTCACGTCTTTTGTCTGTTCAAATATCGACATGTGTCCAAATATCGGTACTGATATCTCCCTTCCATAGCAAACAACATGATGTACCACCTAGCCTAGCTCAGTTGGTACACCCATGAACTGATATCTCCCTTCCATAGAAAACAACATGATGTACCAACTAGCCTAGCTCAGTTGGTACACCCATGAACTGTTGAAAGACGGTAGACCTGAGTTTGAAACCCGATCGATGTAAACAGATGAAGAGAATTAGATAATCCTGAATAACCTGGGGCTGGTCAGTGCAATGATCATAGACGTAACCAGACAAAGAGAATTAAGATAGTTCTGAAAAACCTGGGGCCGGTAAGTGCAATGATGATATCTCGAGGCTGTCGCCCTTTTTGTGAGAGAGAGGGAAAGATAACACGACGTTATCCCTTGTGTTTGCATGTCTGTTCGTCTATAGTGGCTCGCTACTTCCTGCTATTCCCAGGCGAAAGACAATGTTGACCGACTATTCTTCTCAGATGCTGCTTTGCCTACCGGATGAAGTGTGACAGGCACTGTCAATGGCAGAGGGAGAGAGAGAGAGAGAGCATACACACTTCTCCCACTGACTGTGAACTCGACTGACATTGCGAAAAGGTGCACTTTGAAGATCCTACCAGCCAGCCAGCCAGCCAGCCAGCCAGCCAGCCAGCCTGCCAGCCAGCCAGCCGATTCGGTGCCCCCACTACTCCCACCATCACTCGACTGTGCAGTGGACTGGCTCAGCGAAAAGATCCACAGTGAAAATTCTACCAGGAATGTAGTATAGTACGCACTATTCAATGCCCACTACTCGATGCCCACTACTTGATGCCCACTACAGACTATTCCCACTGACTGTGCACTTGACTGGCTCAAGAGTCTACCAGCAACATAGTATAGTACACACTATTGAATGCCCACAACATAGTAAACGCTATTCCCACCGACTGTGCACTTGACTAGCCTAGCTCAGTTTTTGTACATCTATCAACTGTTGAAACACAGACCCGAGTTCGAACTCCCACTAGACACCATTCCCACTGACTGTGAACTTGACTGGGTAAAGGAATATAGATGCACTATCAGCAGCAAAGTCGATGACCACCCAACACACAAAGAATGGTCCAGGCCGGAGTACAATGGTCTGAAGCATAGTAGGGCACAAGATATCGGACAAATCTATGTGACCCGTACACATGCCACGAAGCAGTGGAACTGCTACCTTCCTCCCCCAAACTTGTCCTCTCAACTTCACGCTGCACTGCCTACCTACCACTACTACTACCAATAGTCATACGGGGAACCCCGTAGCAGCCAGAACCGTGTGCACTAGAGAACATGCGGGGGCATCTCCCGACCTGCAGGTGGGCGATACCGGCCAAGGGACAGCCGGTAGCAACAGGGACCATGCCAACAGGACCAATCCCTGTGGTCCCCTCCCCTACGAACCTCAGCAGACTCTGCTCAATGCCGATCAGGGGATCCAGCGGCGTCTATCTCTAGGTGGGGGGCGCCAAGCATGCCACCGAACTTGTCCTCGTTATCATTGGTATTGGTATATTTTATTATTTTCTTAATATCATCTAGCAACTGCTGAAACACAGACCGGAGTTCAAATCCCGATGGAATCAGATGAGTAAAAAATACCTCTGCATTTACACGTCTTCGGTCAGTTCGAAGACGATATCGATATCTCCTGTTCTATAAAGAAGAAAAGAAAGCAAGAGTTAGTCCGATGATGATATCCTATGGCCGTAGCCCTTTTCCTTAAATTAAAATAAGGGAGGATTACAAAAGAAAAAAAAAAAGAAAAACAAACTAGGGAACGAAGGTAGCTTCTGGTTGACGAAAATAGTAGCTTCTGATTCATCAAACCAGAAGCCCCTCCCTCTTTCCCCGCCCCCGCGCCCCCCCCGCCCCCGTTTTCTTCCCATCTAGGTGATAATATCCAATCCGACAAACAATTGTCGAGCTGGGAGTTCAAAGTGCAGCACTGGTCAGCATTGGGGGGGGGGGGAAGAGAGAGAGAGAGAGAGAGAGAGAGAGAGAGAGAGAGAGAGAGAGAGAGAGAGAGAGAGAGAGAGAGAGAGAGAGACTTCTCTCTCTGCCTCCTCTCTCTACCCTCCCCCTTCTCTGCCCCCCACCGGCTTGTCAGCCATCGCCACAGCGATCAAGCATCCAACAACACATCCCCACCTATTATCCTCCACCATCTTGTCTTTTTTGTTTTCCTGTTTTATGTTTTTTTAATAAGACTCCAGGGGCCATCTTGGCTACCTAGTTCAATCGAAAATAGATAAAGACCAAGCAAAACCATTCCTTACCCCTCCCGCCTTGACTTCATCTATATATTTGTTTCCATCTACCCCTTAATCTATTCTACCTACTCCTCATTTATCCGATCTACCCCTTATCTATTTAACCTACCCCTAATGTATTTGATCTATATATTCAATCTACCCCTTATCTATTTGATCTACCTGTAATCTTGGCGTTTGACAAGATTGCTCGCATCGTTTTTGTCCCCTCGCTCATGGTGGGCCTTGAGCTGTCGTCGTCGTCTACGCACTCCCAAGCCAGAGAGAGCACACTCGCTACCATTTGCACCATAGCAGGGTCCGTCATCACCTGGCTCGTGAGACAGCTGTCGAGAATCTGGACAGGTACCCCCCCCGGTCCAAAACTACCCTTTTGGTTGCTCTGCAGCCTGACCCACTCCACGAGTGTCTGCCATCCCGACCCTGAACCCTTCTCTAAGCCCTTCGGCCGCATCATCGCCTTTCGCCCCGTCAGCAGCTCCAGCAGGATCACGCCAAAGGCATACACGTCATTCTTCTCCGTCAGCTTTCCCCTCATCATGTACTCCGGCGACATGTAGCCCTGCGTGCCGGACACGTGGTTCGTCAGCACGATGGACGAGTACTGGGTGTCGAACAGCCTCTCGCACATCAACGCCAGGCCGAAATCGGCCAAGACAGTCCGGATGTTCTCTCCCGATCCCGATCCGAGCAGAACGTTGCTGCTCTTGACATCTCTGTGGATGACCGGCGGCTCCACCTCCGCATGCAGATAGCGCAGTCCCTTGGCGATCTGGAAGGCTATGGACATACGCTCCACGAGGGTGAGAGGAGGAGGGCTTCTTAACGCGGCTGCCGCAGTTCGAATCCCCCCTCTGTCATGCAAGCGGGCATAGAGACTCCCCCCGGAGCAGTAAGGGTACACAAGAATGGACTTACTGTCTTCCTGACAATAACCTACGAGACGAACGAGGTTGGAGTGGTGAAGCCTGCTCAGCGTGTTTACCTCCGCTGTGAATTGTTTCCGCTTGGAGGCCGTCAGCTCCCCCGTCATCACCTTTACAGCCACCTGCTGGTCCTCCAGAGCCCCCCAGTAGACGTTCCCAAACATTCCCTTCTCTCCCATTCGGTACTCGTCGCTGAACCCATTGGTGATGTAGGACAAGGTTCTGAGATCGAACTTTCTGACATGGAAGGGGTGAATTTCTGGCATGGGGCCGCCGCCAGGGTGAGTGGAAAGCCGTTTTTCGTCGAGTACTCCCTGCTGCTCCTGTGAAGACCCTCCACTGCGCCAGCGGCTAGGCACGCTGAATCGGTCGTCGTCGAGTGGTTGCTCCTGAGAAGAAGAAGCCCCAGTGCGAGGCATACGGGACAACTTGGTAGCACCTGGGCCCACTTGCACGCCGCTTTTGGTCCCACGGTTGCTACCTGCGGTCCCCTGCCAGCTGCCTTGGGGGGTTTCCTGCTCCCCCCCCCCCTCCTCCCTCTGGGGACTCTGCTTCTGCCGGCTTTTGCGATAGACAAGGCAAAGGAGGAGAGCAACAAGTGCGGTGAAGGAAACAGCGGCCACGGGCAAAGCGATAAACAGGACAAAATTCTGACGTTCGGACGTGGAGGAGGGAGCTGCGGGGGTTGCCGATGGCAAGAGGGCGGGGGAGGGGGAGGGGGAGGGGGGGGGAGAAATGCTGGCCGGTGGAGACGGCAGTGAGCATCGGTGCAGCAATGACCTGTTGATTTGCAGCTCGATCAGATGCCCCTTGCTTGATCCAACGTACAAACTCAACCGAGTCCCGTCATCGTTCATGGCCATACCCCAGAGCCCCACGCTGGTGGTTCGTGCCACGATCTCCACACTTCGCGCCCTCCCGCACGGCGCGTCTGATTTTATCCACCACACGAACCCGTTGATGTCACTCACGAACAGATTGCATCCATCCCCTACGACTACGAGCTCTCGCAAACGGCCATTAAGGTCATCATTCGTTGCGAAGTCCGCACTGGCAGCCACCAGGGAAGCCTCCGATTTGGCGATGTCTATGGCCCACACGTTGGTGTTGTTCCTATCAACGGAGTAAACGCAACTGCTGTCGGATAAAAAACCCTGGGGACGGATGTATGGTTCTGCCACGGGAGCATAAGCAGCAGAGCTTGCATTTCCAGGGGGCAAGGTGGTCACGGTTTTGAAGATCGTCGAAGAGGCGCCAGGAACCGTCACGTCCGCTGCCGCGGCAGATAGCAGCTGTGGCTTCTCAAAGTCCATTGCATACAGACGCGTTTTCGTCGGCTCAAATGCCACGCCGCTCACGTTGACGCCCGGCAGGAGGATGGAAGATCGCTGGCCGTCGATTAGAGACACCAAATTTACGGCAGATCCGAACGATTCACTGATGTTTTCGTGGGCAAAGAGCTCGCTCGTGCTCAACACCATGTGCGAACCGTCAGCCGTAATGTCCATCCCATCCATGAGTGCCATTGGAAGCATCGTTGAGTTTTCGTCAAAAATCATTGGCCGGGAAGATGCATTTGTCCCCTCGCCATCAGCAAACGGCCACCAATAGGTGATGAGGGAATCGTCTTGCACTGGATTCGACGATCCCTCCTGCATCGCCGGGGTCAGGTCTGCCTTTCGCAAGGACATCAGCCAATGAGAGTACACCGTTGAGGAGTTAAATGCACAACGTTCGTCGGCAATGTAGTACACCACTGTGCCATTCGACAAAGGCACCAAACTTTCTACAACTAGGTAACACTCGAGCAAGGCACTCCGGTTTGTTCTAGGGAAAAACGGCGTGGGCCGTTTCACGAGCAAAGTGCGTGGTGTATTGATTATCAGCGATTGGTTCAGGATGGTCACTGGCGGCACGTTCAGACCTTGCAGGATTCGATCCCTCGACGACTCCCAAGTCCCCTCCCCCTTTTCGGTGGGAACAGCCCCCCTGGACATGCTTGTCGATGTGGAGAGAACGCGGGAGCCAGCATCAAGCCGCCGGTTGTTGCCGGGCGAGCCACTGCCACTCCCCACGTCCCCCATTATAATCAGCATCGCCATCACCATCTTAATCAGCACCCCCAAACCGATCTTTCTTGTCAGGATCACGTGGTGGAAGCATTTGCCAGCTCGGCAATGTACACGGTGGCCATTGCGGTCCCCCATCCTCCTGTCCACACGTCGCTGCTGCAATTCCATCATCAATCAGACTACACCAGCACGAGATGTCGCTCTCATACCGTCGATGTGAAAAGATTGGACATGGCAGTGGATCAAACCTCAGGTTAAAAGACACACAAACACTAACACAAACACGTGCGGCGCTTCATCACCCCACCGTATCTCTCGATCTCTCACTCCGGCAATTCCTCAGGTGGGGGAGAAAGACAGATAAGTCATCCAGCTCAAGCAAGCCATGATCTGTCACCATGACAGGATGTGTCGAATCTCGAATCTCCCCTGTCAGAAACACATCATCCATTCATTACCAGGTTGAGCGAAAAGACAGCGGCCACCCAAGTGGGTGCACCGATGAACTGTTGAAATACAGACCAGTTATCGAATCCAGATGACGGTACAGGATGAGTAAAACCAAATATTTCTGAATTGCCTGGGGCAGGTCAGCTCAATGATGATATCTCAAGGCCGTTGCCCTTCGAAGGAAAACAAAATAGAAAAGACAGCGGCCCTCAAGGCTCAGGACCGGGGCCCCAACACGACGCAGTAACATCGCTTTTACAAATCTCTGACCAACGATCTGTCAATCTTCCAATCTTCGGATCTTCTGTAGGGAACACATACCGTATTATCTGGTTGAGCGGAGGAGAAAAAAAACACAATGCACCTCAAGGCTCAAGGGTCAAAGTTCAAGGATTCAGGGCAGGGCAGGGGGCAGGGCAGGGTGGGGTGTACACTGTCCGGCACCCGCAACCCCAACCGCTCCCAACCCCTTACCGGCGACTCAGGAGCCGGCCCACTGTCTATTTCTTTTGGTCAGCGATCCCGACCCATTTCCAAGTGATGAGAACAAGTATGGTAACCGCCACGGCTTTCCCCCGTGGCACCAGGCTTGGGACCACTGCACCAGGGTCGGGATCACTGCACCAGAGTCGGGATCGCTGCCAGGTCCCACGATGCGAAATGCAAACAACGGCAACAGATGAAATGAGCCCGAGCGAGTATTTCTCTGCCCCTGCTCTTTTCTGTCTTTGTGTGCGTCGTTTTCATATGCTCCCCCCTCCCGACCCTCTCTCTCTCTCTCTCTCTCTCTCTCTCTCTCTCTCTCTCTCTCTCTCTCTCTCTCTCTCTGTGTGTGTGTGTGTGTGTGTGTGTGTGTGTGTGNTGTGTGTGTGTGTGTGTGTGTGTGTGTGTTTCTGTATCTGTGCTTTTCTCTCTCACCCCTCTCTCTCTCTCTGTATCTGTGCCTCTCTCTCTCGCCCTCCCTGTCCTCCTTCCACTCTCTCCCAATCCGTTTTTTTCTCTTTCTATCCCTCTCTCTACCTGTTCATAGTCGTGTGGAAGCTGCGCCCTTGTGTTTTCCGTGCATTCATCATAGCTCTGCACAATAAGCAATATACAAACAGACATACGGACAGACGTTGGCTGATGAGAAAGGAGAGCTCCAATGCGACAACAAAAACATACGTTGTTTATGACAAGAACAACATGGGAGTACTTCGTTGGGGATACTCACACTAGCACATTTCTAAATGTATATGACCGCAATTACCGCCCGACCTGGATGTATCCAACCGCAATCACATCCACAGCTTAGTCAAGAGCTCTCTCTGAAAAGTTCTAGTGTGCGTATGCCCTGCAATCAGACTGGTCGACTTCGACCTTCAGCATGCGTACAAACGGATGACGATCAAGCTGGCGACTAGCACCCACACAAAGCTCAGAGATAATGAAGCCAAGAACGCAACTCAGATTCCAACTTGTCCTGGCCAGCTATGGCCGACACTTGCACACTCGATAACTTGTTTGTACACACACACACTGGATCTCCCTGGATGTCCCGACACACACACACACGCCAACTCTCCCTCACACACTGACACCTACTAACATGCTGACATGACGGCTATGGCCTCTTTCTTCCTCCTACACTAACACCTCGGCTATGGCCGATCTTCTTCCTCTTAGCCCTCTTCTTCCTCGGGCACCTGCAGACCTCCTTGCACAAGACGCTCAGGCAGTGCTTCCCCATGGATCACAGGCAGAATGAATGTTTGACTTGACGCTGCCTCTGATTTATACTTCGGATTGTCAATGGTCTGCCTTCGGTCCCTGGGCCCGGGGTGCACACAGTCCCACATGGTACTTGCTGACTTGACAAAGTGCAACCGGGACTGGGTACCGCTGACTAGGCGAGGTTGGACTGCCCTCTTGCCGATTTGCCCCTAGGCTGACTCTTAGGACCCTATGAAAGGTCGCTTCCAGACCTTCCGGAAGTTTGTAGACTTGACCTCTCGGGACTGTAGCAGCTACGACCTTGACCGTTCAGGACTGTAGTAGCTACGACCCCTACTCAGTGAGAAATTCAACGACCAGACTACCTATAACATGCAACAGGCCACTTCCGAGACACAGGTCGCGGGTTCAAACACACACAAGGCACGGATACTGTACGCGGTTAAGGACGAGGTCTAGGGATCGAGCCCTGGGAACAGCAACTGCCACCGTAAAGGTGAAAACCGTTTCAGCCCTCAGTGGAGTCGTCAAAAGAAGAAGAGGGACATTGGAAACAAAGACGATGACGATGAAGAAGAGGAAGATAGAGAAGAGAGTGTGGGATGGATTAGGGTATCGATCCACCACTCACCACATTCACAAAAGACGAAAGTTTTGGGGGTGTACCGTTGCATGTTCTACTGGAAGATTCATTCCTATTTTGCAAATTTGGTGACTGTTGGAACGAGGGCCTTCTACAGAGCAGGATCCCAGCTACCAGCTTAAATGGTGGATGCCCATGGTTCTAGTGGAAGATTCAGTCCTATTTCGCAAATTTGGTGACTGGTGGAACGAGGGCCTTGGACAGAGCAGGATCCCAGCTACCAGCTCAAATGGTGGATGCCCATGAGGGACTAATAAAGTCCTCAGCTTCACGGAGTAGAGGGACTACCTCACATTATTACATACATGCTGGCAAAACCAGCAGCAAGAATTGCCTATTTTGGGCCTCCGCAAACCACTCGTGAAAAAGACAAAAATGTGGCGAGTGCATCTGGTCATGTTTGCGCCAAGTCCATTCTCATTTTGCACATTTCGAAAGTGGTGTGGCGATGCCCTTCGTTTGGCGTATCTGCTTGCCCGTCGGTCTCTCGCCCTGCCTGACTGTCTGAGTGCTTACCTGGGATTACTGCTGTGCTGGCCTGAATAGAATCATGAGAGAAAATTTTCAAATACCCCTACAAGTTTGGGTATTTCTTCAGATACCCCTAAAACACAGGGGTATGCTGATATGCCCTAAACTTCTGCACCTGGCCCCGTCCCGCTCATGGGCAACTTTGCCATCTGCCCTGGCCCTGGGCTGCAGGGGGCCATGCATTTCTTTCGCCATCTGCAGGGTCCAACGGCCAGAAATAAGGGGGCATATAGACAAGTTGCCCAGGGCCGGGTGGGGGTATATGCAAAAGATCACAAGTCCAACTGGCGACTGGGGTATTTCACAAAGTTTCACTACTGTCATAGGGGCATTTTGCAAAGTTTTACAACTGTCATAGGGGGATTTTGACAAACCCATGCCTTTTAGTGGTATCTGACGAAATACCCCAACTTCCAGGGGCATTCCAATCATTTTACCTCAAAATATTATCCCTTACTCTTCCTTAAAGTAGCAGCGGGTCTCGCGTGACCCTTCTGCGAGGCCCAGCTACCAGTCCTGGGAAAGCAGTGAGGACACGAGGGGTGGGCCCAGCAGGAACGTTTGTCGGAGTGCCTGAGGCATGTGCTACGCTCCCGCCACATGCTCGAATACAAGTACTTAGCATAGCGGCGGGAGGGTTCCGTGCCTTGGCCTCTTTTTGCTTTTCTGTCGTCTTTCGAGGTCATGTGCTGTTTGCCAGCTGTTCCCCCCCCCTTTTTTTTTTTGGGACATGGAAAGATACACCGCCATGATTTTTGTCATTTTTGTGCATGCGATAGTAGTGCAGCCATGATTTTTCTCGTTTTTGCATGCGATAGTAGTGGAGCGGACCTTTTCGTATTGCTGCATCTGTTTCGTGTTGCGCAGAGTGAATCTTCCACCAGGGGCATGGTCCCATCAGCAGTCATATAGGAGTGTGGCCGATCCAGTGTGGCACTGAGTGGCAGCGGCCTGACAGGTTCATTACGAATTTCTGGGCTGAGAAAACAGAAGAAAGGCAAAAAAAAAAAAAAGAAACAGAGACCTCCCACCGGAAATCATGCCAGAGTGCTTCCCAGCCATCAGATCACAAATGATCTGATGGTGGTGGTTGCGACAACAGTGAACAAACTAAGAGGTGGACCCCACTGCCTGGCGGAAGCTTTCCAGGCGGAAAGCTTCCTCCAAACCCAAATCGTAGGCCCCGGCGGTGGGAGAAAAGCAAACCCCACTGCAGCACAAATTTTCGGCAGTTCCGTTGGTGCCGGTTACCGGGTAGGGAAAACTTTCCCTATATGGAAACTTCACGTCCGCTTGTCTCGGTTCTCACCCTCCCTGGCTCTCCTTTCAACAAGGGATGGCCAAACCGAGGGAGGTGCCCCCCCCCTACTCCCTCAGAATGGCCGAACCGCAGGGAGCGGGCAAAACAGAACTGAGTGAAAACGTCTGCCAAGTCATATCTGAGCGTTTTCCAAAGCTTTGTCGCAAAGCAGTGGGGTTTCACAAATCGTCTTGCAAAGCTTTGCCGCAAAGCAGTAAGGTCCACCTCTAACTGCCACATTTTCTGGAATAAACCGGACTTCTGTCAGCAGTGATGATGACGCCCTTCATATACTCCGTGGTTGAAGGAGGGTTCCACCCAATGAGATAATTGCACAACAGCAAGCAAAATACTGAAAATCTTCTATCCAATGGGCCTATGGCCGACCCGACTCTCTTTTGGGGTTGGCCATACCCCCAACGGATTGAAATATTTGGGCGGGAAGCTTCCTTTGCACCCGTGTGCCCAGTGTGTGACGTACCAGCTTCCGGACCTGCGCCATCTTCCAGACCCCTTTTT